CTGAAACATACAGCCAAAGCAATCAAAGAGACCGGCTGAGTCAATCAACTGATCTCGGCCTGATTGAGCTGCAGTCTACTTGTTGAATGACGCAGAGACCCCACAACAAGCAAGAGCTGAAGGTGGCTGCAGTGAGAGCATCGCCAGGGAAGATATAAATTCTGGAGTCAATCAGTTTTCACTTTCTCCAACTTGTACAGGATGCTGCTGCTCATTTTTAACTCACACAGCCAAATGTGACAATAATTTTATCTGTTCATTAGTGTCCACTTTGGTTCCGAGTTGATTTCAAACTTTTGTTTGTTTTTTAAAAGCTTTAAATGGCCTTGCCCCCTCTTTGTTTAACAGAACTTTTATTCTTCCATAAAAATGACAGCGTGCTTGGGCCATCCATCCAGCTTCTTTTAGAAGTCCCCAGGTCTTGGTGTAAACGATGGGGTAGCTGTGCTTTGACTGTGGAACAGTTTACCACTATATTCTCTCTATTACTGACCTGGCACTTTTTAAGACTAAGCTTTTTAGACTGACCTTCAGTTCCCAGTAAGACCATTGTTGTTGTTTTAAAATATGTATTAATTTGTGTGCATAATAATAATGTCTAGATCTTACTATGTTAAAGTGCCCTGAGATGGTTTTTGTTGTCATTTGGTGCTATATAAATAAAATTGAATTGATTTGACCTAAAATTTGGTGGGTTTGATTTTTGCTATTTCGAGTAAAGCATTTTGATCAACTTGTAGTTGTGTGTAAAAGATGTATACATAAATGTTGATTTGATTTAAAAGTGTCTGGTGATGTCTAGTCTAACACTTCAGACAATCATTGACTGCAAAGGATAGTCTGCAAAATATGTACTGTATGTACTGTAATATGGAAATATAATAATATGTAATGCCTTTTACATTAAAGGTGAAGAAATTCTCACCTATGAAAGGATTGCGTGGAGGAGGTACTGCAAGTCAAACATGCTGTTGAGCTTAGTTAAAGTCATTTAACTTACCTAATCTTTAAACATTGACTTCAAAATATCATTGTGATACTATGTGCACAGTAGTCACATGAGGATTTCATGCTATGAGGACAGAAAAGCTGGTTGATCACCTGATAGACAGATCAATGTACACCATTAAAAAGATTCACCATATATTAACTTTTGGATAAATGTATGTGTCATCTTTTCTATAAAAATGTCTTCTCTCTGCAGGCTAAATCTCAGCCTTAGCTTATTGGTCTGTGCAGCTAATAATAAAGCATGGTGCCCACTTCCTGCTGTTGTGGAAGATTCCAGGGTTCAGAAATTCTAATACAAAATACAGCGGTTGTTGATGTCTTGACACGAGCATTTTATGAGATTGTGTTGATTTCACATACAGCATGTCTATTTATATCTGAAAGGCATCTCACTATAGATAAAAAGAACTACTGTGGTGAAGACAGAGTGCATGACTGAGGCTGCCCTGACACTGCAGCAGCTATTTGTCACTAATGGTTTCCATTAATTATAGTGAAGACATTGTTAAGATAACACATGATAGTGCTCTACTGTGGCATGTGAGGAACTGCGGAGTGATGGTGTGGTTTGTGTGCTTCTCACTTTTCTAAACCCATCCATTTTAAGTCAACATCCAAACTGATAATGGAGCCTGTTTGAGTGAACTGGACAAGTGGGTCATCACATAGAAGTGGCTGAAGTGATGAAATGCTTTCACGCACACTCTCTGGAGAAGTCTACCATAAACCAAAAGATGGTCAGAAGCATAAAGAGACAGCCAAAGTGTGATTTTTAGGGACACCGCACATCACTTCTAGGATCAAGCACATAATGCACTTCTGCTCAACATTCTGTGATAAATGTCCAAAAGAAACATATGAGTAGGGATCTTTAAATCAAAATTTTAAACAACATAACCAAATGGTTGTTCCTGCCCTCCTTGTTCCATGTGACTTAACAGTACTGCACATTACAACCTACTGTAGCTTTTCAAGCAATACAAAGCCTCTAACCTGGCTTCATCACCCAAATCTTGATGTGCTCATTGATGATTTTTCCCCAGTTAGAGAAACAACTAACCCACCAGAGCTTTGCAGGCAGCATTAAGAATCAGGTTATCTCCCCACATACTGTGGCTAGTGAGCCACAGTACATCTGCCAAAATCCATTCAGTATACCTAAAGTAGAGAATAAAGCAGTTACCTAAATGGTAAAGTGCATGGATGAAACTGATGCAGCAGTACTGGCTGCTGTAATAGCTGACCTATAGAAAAAAATATAGTTGTAAAATTGTGATCACTGTTTTTTTTTTTTCTTTCTGCATCTCACTTGGTAAATCATGGAACTAACCACTAAACAGCTTGAGAGGAAAGGGAGGCTTAAAAGCATGTTACTGTATATGTGCATCAGTTTATACTCAAAGTTAAATTTACAAGATGAATTTGAAGAAAATAATGGATAGACACAGGTAGATAGTATTGATGTCTTTTGTCATAAACCCTTAAAATGATGCTCACCAGTCTGTATAAATTCTTTAGACATGGCTCGCTGCAGGATTGTTGGAGGTTTTGTTTCTGACAGAATTTTGAATTTTTGCATGTCTGAAGACTGGGCCAGAAATTCTGGTTGACCTTCTCAAACTTAATGAGGTTTGGTGACAGCTGTGCAAGAATGAACCAGTTCCATCCAACACTGTCTCAGACCTTGAACTTTTTTAGACAGCTAAATTGGGACCGATTGTACTGCCCCCTTATTTAGCTGTGTACCAGGGCAGAAGACCACACAATGACAGGAGTTTAGAGAAAGGACATTTGGAAGTTAAACACACTCACTGCATCTCTGACTCTAAACCAATCTCCATTTACAGTACAATAGTGGAATAGGCACAGTTTGTGTATATAGTATCTGCACTGTGTAGGATCTACAATGTAAAGTATGTACAAATGTCTTGGTGCAGTGTCTCCCTGTCCTGGCAGCTGCAGGAAGCTCAGAAACAATCCTTCAGACAAACATGGCACACTTAGACTGCCTAAATCTTACTAGAGAATTCCTGTTGGAGAAGCACTGGAAACTTTGCTCAGATGGCACAAAACATTTCAGCCGGTGTTTGCAAGGACTCAAAGTGGTGACTATTATTTGTAAGTGCTCAAAGCTACAAAGCAGGGTTGTAAAGATAAAACCAGCTCATGATTTGGTTCTAAACATGATAAAAGGCTTACGGTTCGGTTCGTCATAGTTTATATTTTTTTCCTCCTGAATGTTGTGCTGGTCTAATCCATAGCTAAGGGAAACACTTGCTTGAGGTTATTGCTGCCAAAGGTGATTCAACCCATTATTAAAACACGGTTGCCATTACTTTTTCCATCATCACTTTGCATTAATGGGTGTGTTCAATAAAGACATTAAAGATTATGACTATTTGTGTTTTATCAGGTTAGAAATATTGTGTTTGTTGATAGTTATAGCTTTGGTGAAGATCAGATCACATTTCATGACCAATCTGTGCAGAAAACGGTGCACTTACTTTGACATTACGATACATTTTTCAGTTTCATGATGCTTATTGTAACATTTTTGAACCCCTAGTTGAAATGCAACATAGTTTATATCAAAAGCTTATCCGTGAATGGGATGTGGCACAAACAAAAAATCTAATTTAGGTACTCAAATGGTTGGTTGATAATAATGCGTTTAGTAAATATGAGCTAACACATAAATCAACACATTGCAAACTTGCCTTAATATTTTGGCATGTGCTTATACACGTTTATGTATTTTTTAAATGTTAACCCCTATTTATCATATTTATCAAGGACTTTTATTATCAACCACCCACTCGAGTGTCTAAAATGGACTTTTTCGGGCACATCCCACTCATGGATATGGGTAGATTTTTATCATATTTTTGATATTTATTTTACCCCTTAAGTGCCCCAGTGGTGGTGAGGGATACCAGAAGCGGTCCTGTTTCAGATTGCTTTTCTGCAGTATAATTTGGTTGTAAAATAAAACAAGTGCTCCGGTTCAAAACGGAATGTTTCCCTTTATGGAAATGTGCACAAATTATATGAGAACATATTTGCACTTAGTAAACAGGCATTAACATCTCTTTGATAACCGTAGAAATGTAACACAAAAGGTGCTAATGAGTACCTGTCAAAATAAAAGCCTCCACAAAATCTTTATGGGACTGTGTAAGTATTTGAAGCCCACTCTTGTAGATCTTACATCAGCAGAGTCACAAAGTCAGCAAGGTTGCTTCTTTTTTCAGAAACCAATTATTGCTCTGCTGGTCACTCACACTTCAGGGAAATGCAGCATTTTGCCATCTTAGTTTCAATTTTCAAAGTATTCTTAGTTTAAACTGATGAAGTGCCCACAAAGCCCTGGATTCCATTACCTCAGCCATGAATTATTTATTTGTATCTAATTATGCTTAAATTCACCTCACACAACTAAATGTGTTGGTATAGTTGTATTTTTGTTGGTGCTTTTTTTTTTTTTTATTCGCAACTACAAGATTTGTGTCTATGATCCCTCTGACACAGTGAGTGTGTTCTACAGTTTGTACACATTATTATGACTGCATCCTGTCATCTGACCTCTACATATAAACCTCTGTGTTTAGGGGGTGTGTGCATCTCCCAGTCAGTCAAGATTCCTCGGGAGCCCAAGCAGGGAGAGTTTGACAAGGTCATCCGGCGCCTCAAGGAAAACCCAAACGCAAGAGTTGTCATAATTTTCGCCAACGAAGATGATATCAAGTAAGTCCTGATGGTTACATAACAGCTCTTTGAAGATTAGAAAAACATGCAGCAGACAGCACAGAAACCCGTCTGAGCATAGTCATTTCAGTCCAGCTCTGCCAGACTACTGTGTAAGAAATTGCAAAATGAAATCAAAGCTTAGCCGGTCGGGATGCCGACCTTATCCACAACAACATGTTTCCTCACCTTTGCAGACGGCTACTCCATGCAGCTAAAAAGGCTAACCAGACCGGCCATTTTATCTGGGTGGGTTCAGACAGCTGGGGCTCAAAGATCTCTCCAGTTGTGCACCAAGAGGAGATGGCAGAGGGAGCAGTCACCATCCTGCCCAAGCGCCAGTCCATCAAAGGTACAAAGACAAGCCTTGGTCATATACATCAGATCTGCATGTTTTATAAAACCATTTTCAGTGAAATATTATTTTTATGTGAGGCAAAGTTGCCTGTTTGCAGAAGAATAAGCGTTGTTGTGTAATGCTTAACCTCTATCATTTAATCATTTGATGCCTAAAAACCAAAAGTCAATCAAACAAAACAAAGTGAATTCAACACATACAATGCTTAATTAATTACACTATAGAACACAACAGAGACCTAGCTCACAGACTGCACCAACGCTGCTGGTTACTCTGTCAATGACATTGAACCCATTGATCTGTCTAGGGTTTGATCGTTACTTCATCAGTCGAACGCTGGAAAACAACAGAAGGAATATCTGGTTTGCTGAGTTCTGGGAGAATAACTTCAACTGCAAACTCAGCCGTCACGCCGTGAAGAAAGGGTCCGGGCTCAAAAAGTGCACAAGTAAGACATTCTTCTGTTGGGAAGAAAAGCTCCTTTGTTCTTTTTGTTGAAACTTTTAACCACCTTGGAAACATTCGTTCTGATGTCTTGAGGGAGGTGACACATTTGGCTCATGGTGAAACTGTTGTGACAGCATCACACTCATATTACAAGTGGAGGAGCAGTACATTTAATATTCAGAATCACACTTCATCTCACAGCTTGTTTTTGTCATACACAATATTTCTCCTCAGTTTTGCATCTTTACCCCCATGGCTAGTGAATGAATTAGCTGGGCTGCATGGTTAAAGCTTCAGGCTTAGTGCAATATGTTACAGAGCAAAGTCTGTCTTGAAGTGGAAACACACTGCACATTTAAATGAAATTTAGACAACAGTTAAGTAGATGAACATATATTTAAAATCTGAGGGGTTTCCTCAGTCATCTCCCTTATCTTAATACAGATTAATTACTTTAAAGGAATCTGTTATGGTTTGCTGTGCTAACAGAGATCAGTGCAGATGATAATTTAATTTTAATAAAAGCAAACTGTCATGTTGTAAGACGCTTTTTACAAGAGTAGTATAATTGTTTACATTGTGCTTATATTTATACCTGGTTTCTATGGGAGGCATTTAAGATATTCCGGACAATAGCACGGTCTTCGATCTAATACATTTTTTTTTTTTTTTTTGCATTTGTGCTTTGCGATGTATGCATAGCTATAGCTATAAGTGAAGCAATTGATTGCTATGTGCTAGTACTGAGCTAATCAGCATTTACAAAAATAGTAACTTGCATATGATATTAATTATATTAATATTAACAGAGGGTCTTGGGAGGTCTCAGACCCCTTTACAATCTCAATATGAAATTTCGGGGGGGGTTGAATTATTGGCACATTACTACACAATACGATTTATTTGCATATAACTTTTATAAATGGTTAATTGTTTTGAAAATAATGAACTAAAATAAAAATGTATAATATTCACAACTTGCAGTGAATGACAGCAGCCACACCATGACTTCACCTGCTGTCAGTAATGCCTGTAACATTATCAGGACATGTGCAGGGTATTTTCTAACTTATCATGGCTCATGAGCTGCATTCACGTGTTATTTTATGGGCTCATTTTTGTGCATGGATTTAAGTGTCGGATCAGTGATTCTCAAGGATCAGCTGGAGTGCACCTCCTAAGAACAATGCTGGTCACTGTGTAGAAAATTGGTATTGGGATGTTGATGCGAGAGAGGCTGCAGAACTGACTGAGATATGGAGGTGCTGCTCCAAGTCAGAGCGTGCACTGCTATCACTCGGCTCCAGCTGATTCCCAAAAGGAGACCCCCCCCCACCAATGCGCAATGCAATTCACACGCTGGTTAGTGTATAACTGTCTTGTTAACACATTAGCATTGTGGACGGCTACAAAGAGTGCATTTTGTTCTTAACAGCATTTTCACTTTTTGCCTATGTAAAACAAGTCTCTGTTTCTTCCAGTACATCAGTGCATAATATCTGCACATTTAGAAGTAATCTATATAACTTTGTAATGTCACCCGGCCATATTTAGCCTAGAATTTGAAACTCAGTAGGTGGATTGTTACACCAGAACTCTAGATTGTCTTATTTTATTATCTTCAGTTACTAATGTCCCAGAGTGATGAGGTCAGATGAGGATTGCACAAACTGAAGGCTAGATCCGATATATCTAAGGCAAAGATTAGTGTTATTCTGTTTGGATATGCATTTACAAGCAACAACCCAGTTTCAGAGTCTATTGTAATAGTTTAATGGAAAGTCTGTATTTTAGATCTGCAACAAATGTCAATATAACCTTGTTAAGTGAAATTCTGTTCATTTATTTATTTATTTATTATTTTACATATTTTGTTTGTCCAGCTTTAGATCCTCCTGGGCATGGATGATACCAGTCTTGCACAAATCTGTGGAGAGACATTCTGCTCTTCTTCACAGATGATTCTTTTTAGAGGGGCTTTGTTGCCCTACTTTCCTTTTGAAATAGTCCAAAGGTGTTCTATTGGGTGAGGTCAGGGAGCATACCTGGCCATATCATACTGTCACTTTCTTCTTTCAGACATGCACCTCTACCCAGGAAATTGCCTGCTATTTCACGTGTAGGTGTCATGTCTGAATAAAGCCCTGTGATGATGACAGAGCTACACAACATTTTGTCTGTTTCACTGCTCTGTTCTCGCTATAACAATACAGCGTCATGTTTCATGGTTGGCACTTTGCAGTCAGTGTGGTAGTCCTGTCTAGGTCCATGCCAAACATTCTGGACATGTCTGATGCAAACTAATTTATTTTGGTTTCATCTGACCAAGGAATGCACTGCCAACAGCAATCAGGCTTCTCTTCATGTTATGTGGCAAAGTTTATTCATGCACTTTTGTGCCATTTTGTGACTAGTGGTTTTCTTCTTGGACACCGTACATAGACGTTGACTTCACGCATGTGATCAGTGAATGAAACACCAATTTTAGTACATTATTCTTATGGCAGGTCAGAAGTACTTGCTTGTCTGTTTTTCAGTGCAAGGCTTTGCAAACAGTGTGTGGTGTCATTTTTCAAGCATGGGCACTGTGCTTTCTGTTGAGGTGCTATGGCTCTCCTTATACCACTTAACCACTGCTGCAGCTGTGGGTGCAGTTCAACAGTCTGGTTTGTTACTTCCTTACCATGTTGAGCCATGTTGCATTAGACTCTGCCTGTCTGTCTATCATTGGTTATGTGTTAGAAGATTTGTTGACAGCAAGAAAAGAATAGAATATCACCAAAAATAGCCTGACATAGTTAATTAAATAAATAGATGTAACTATTAAACCCAAAGTAGCACTAGAAATAAGAAAAAATAATAAATGCTATAAGATGATGAATAAACTAAGAATATGAAATAGAGCAACTATTGTAAATCTTAAGCAGTCAACCAGATAATTGACTAAAGTGTAAAAACCTAGTCAAGGTTAGCATGGGAGCAAGTGATTTTTAAATGGTTAAATACTTTGACTGCCTCTTTCTATTGTCAATGTTTATGTACTTGACATACAGTAGTTTACTCCTTAGCAATTCCTTGGTGTAGGCGTCAGCTTCAGGATTCTTGTTTGATAGTACTCAGATCAACATGACAAAGCATCTCCCTACAGTAGGAGCAAAATGTGGAAGGCGTCTGTATAAAGCCATCAATAGCTCTTCTGTCACTCTCCTTGCTCAGTACAGACATTTTAGTGTTCAACTTGACTATCAGCTCTGCTTCACAGGGAGACAGAATCTTGCAGCATTTGTTTGACGTTGAACTGTGACACTCGTGGTGCCTCTCCGCTGGCGCTGAGCTTTGCTGTGCCTCTGAGGCAGCTGTGAGAGAATCCACTGGGCCATCCTGCAGAATTATCAGTGTCCTGAGAGGTTTAGGGTACCCGGTGTGATCACAGGATAATGACTGGGGAAAAACTGAGACTTGTCTTTTACCTTTCAGCGAAGGAGATGTAAAACCAATATTGATTAATTTGGAAAGTAGAGAACAGGGACCCTGCTGATAGGCTTCTAATTTCTCCTGCGAATTAATGATGCAGGGGAGAAGCAGTGCAGATAAAGCAAGCTTTGCTTTTATATACAAGCATCTATTGTGTTTTTAACAGCTTATCCTGTGCAGGGCTGCAGGACGCTTTCCCAGAATACATCGGGTTAGAGATTGGAATATTTTGGACAGGTCAGCAGCTTGTCACGAGGGGGATTCTCTTTTGTTGGATGGAATTAAATACGATACAGTGTAACGTAATTTGAGGAAATTATCAAAATGAGATATTTATGAGCAATATCCTGACTGCCAATTGTGATTATCATCTACCGGTATCTATTTGACTCCATAGTATAAAACAAGATATAATCGTGCAGAGCATAATTAAAAGTAAAAACAGTATAGAAATTTCAAATGTGCTTCTTGTTGTGAAAGCAGTACTCCACATTTTTATATTTAGAAAATTATCTCATTAAGTTTAATTAGCTAGAAATTTAACTGGGAGGTTTTAACTACTGTTTACTATGTGCCAGCTGTTGGGCATTCACCCAGCTCTAAAACTAACTGCTCCCTATCATGATGCGACCACCCACATCATTAAAGCTCACACTTGGGACGTTTTGAGCAATGCCAAGAAACAGTTAATTTTCTGTTGCATTTTTCCCACACATCAAAACAATACAGAGTGGTGTTTTTCAGATGAGGTTGACTATAGACACTGACACGCTGCAGAAAGATTTCGTTTTGTAGTTTGGAAGTTCAAAGATTTAAAGTTTATTTGTTACAGCTGATTGGATTTGCAGGGCACCGTTGTCTTAATTGGTGATAAAGTCAAATGTGAAGATTTGCTACTTTTCTGTTTTATGTCATTGCAAATATATTTGAGTTTTGAGCTGTTGGTCTAACAAAACTTGGAGAGAACACTTTAGGGAATTGTTTTATTTATAATTGGTTTCTGAGATTTTATACATAAAACAAATCATTGATTACTTGAAAACATAGTCATCCAGTTGATCAGTATTGGAAATAATTGTTTAACCCTAAACAGGCTTGAGTAGCAGCTTTAGCCCACGTGCACACTGTTTTAGAGGTGTAAAAACGCAGCACTCTTTTCATTTCTGTGGGGGGGATTGCGTTCACCACAGCCAGTACCAGCACTGCAGGGGGCTTGGGCAATACCATGTAGCCACATGTGGTGAAAAAGTTAGATCTGGTTCAACTTTCACCACACCAGACAGTGACATAATCTGGCAAAGGCACTGCGTTGACCAATCGTGTATGGGGTATAGTCAGAATGCGGATGCTCACAGGAAGAACACTCTTTGGTTTGTCGTGTTGGCGCGAATATTCACTGCTATTCATTCCCAAATTTGCACCACAGTTCTAAATGCACCATAATGGCACGCCATGCGTTTTTGTTAGTTAGGGTGCTGCTTGTTAAACTGTGTTTTTTTACCTATCGGTGCTGACACACTGGTGGTAGTAGGCCACGTAGTAGGCTGGAAATGAGAATGAATCCACTCATATTGACTTGTCACAACCTGGTTGTATTGTACACACCTACAACAGCCCCCCTGCAGTGTCTGAATGCCCGCTTAGTTGTAAATTCAGATATAAGAACATGTATACATGCTGTATATGCCAGATAATGAAATAGAGAAGAGTAGGACACAGCACCAGTGTCGGATCAATTTAAGTGGCAGTACAACTCTCTTGGCAGGAAATGACAGGATAGCCTCTGGCCAGTCACGAGCTGAATAAAAAGTCGTAGGTCTTGAAGCCACACACACAGTCACAAAATGTCTTGTGTTGCACCTCAAAGAGGATGAAACCCTCACTTTGCTTAATCTAAACGAATTTCTCTGTAAACAGAACACCAGCTTGGAAACTGTGTGTGAGAGAGCCAAAATGCCAGTGACTCAAAAGCCACAGGGAGGGTGGACTGAGGGAAAAAGGGAAATGGTCTTATGGAGAAAAGACAATGCAAAGTTAGTGTGGGTGCATGCCAAGCCTGCAAGAAAAATATCACTCTCACACCCACTCTGGCTTGCAGGATTCCCACTGGCATAAGCATGTTGGCCAAACTGTGACAATCACTGTCCAATCAAGGCCCCATAGCCCTTAATTACTGAGCCGTAACCTCCAACAATAATTCATGCGTTTCAAAAGCTCGTGGGATAATCAGGGACATTCAAACACCTCTGGTCTGCAGTGAAGAGCTGGAGATTTAGCAAATGAAAGATGGCTGACAGAAGGAGACCTCTGCTGATTTGGGGCTAGCACTCTTTCAGATTGAAGTGGCTATTGAAAATTGCTTGAACCTTAAGAGGACAGATGTTGCATGATAAATGTCTGTTCTGTTACAAAATGGGTGGTTTTGGATTGCTCCTATGCACGTGGCAAAAAATGTTAACAGAAACTGATAACAGCAGAACTAACCACATATGGTGCATATCATTCATATTTTCTTTAAGAAGCAGAGTTTTTTATTGATCCAGTTATATCATAGTGCAGGGATCGATCTCCATTGTGATATTAAATATTTGGAAGTGCTGTCACTGCCATAAACAAAACAGTCAGGGGTAATGTCAACCTGGGTTGCTTCACTGACAGGAAGTAGACAGTGGATGTTTCTTGTTTCCTGTCACCTTGTTCCATTCGATATGTGGGCACTCTGTCAGTGTTACACAGCAAGATGAAGCAGTGCTCACAGTTGGTGGAGGCTGTTTATCTGCAAATGTGCACGGAAGCTCATTTAGTGCAGGTTTTAAATGCTGACTCTTGTCTGTATGTAATGATTTTCTAAAATGTACGTCTTGTTGTGGCAGTCAAACTGTAATCAGTAGATACAGTATCACTGCTTTATATGCACAGTAGCTTATTAATGGTTCCAACAAAACTGAAAAAGTGTTATTATCAGTTTTACTTTTTAATCTCTGTTTTAGAACTTTCAGCAGCAGTTCACCCACTGGGCTCTTATTAACTTGCAAAGCTTAACCAAATTCCATTTAGCAGTTATACATAATATGTAATTTGTGTCGCTTTATTATTACCTCATCCCTGCATGGTACTGTAATGAGTCTGTTGTGAATCTAAATTGAACATACCTGCAACTTAATATCTCTTATGTGCCTACATCAGATTTTGAGGCTCGTGCAGAGCAAAGAGAATTTAGGATTGGCATGTTGCATTTCCTTCTAAGGCCCCACCTCTTCATAGCTTGTAACAATCACAAACACATGTAGAACAACCTGGGTCGGGCTTAATAAACTCCTATCACAAGTTACTACATTGGACCTGTGAGCGGATTATCCCTGTCCTATGAGCGGATTATCCCTGTCCTGTGAGCGGATTATCCCTGTCCTATGAGTGGATGTCTCCATTTCTTACCCCTCTCATTCCACACTCTATTGGCTTCTAAACACACTCAGGCATTAGAGACTGGATTCACAGGTGGTCACTCAGTCAAGCAGATCATGATTCTCGTATACGATCACATTGGAATGCGTATTCTTTTTTTTTTTCTTCTTCTTTAACTGCTAATGGAAATTGCATAATGCATTTACTGTAGGTAATAATTGATGGGATAGACATGTAGGTCCAAGATCTAATGCTTAGAAAACCACTCAGAGGGAAATCCATGTATTGCTACTGGACAGACGAGAAAGAGTTTTTGTTTTTAACTGATGAGATTTCCCAGACAAGAAAACCCTGCACTCCATATATTGGAATTGATTTGCTCCTCTGCAGCGATCCAGATGTATACCTTCTAGCTAATTGCAAGAGGCAAGACCCTGTGCCAAACGAGTAAGACTCACTGAAGAGCAATGCATTTTCCTTCCACACCCTCCATTTATCTTGAAGTTATCCTATAATTGAGTTTCAAGAAGGATGTTTTTAAAAAAACTCTTTCTTGGTACTATTATGTATGTTAGTAGTCTGGCACAGGCTGTAAATATGCTGCTTCATCACCAGCCTACTTCAAACAAGGGTCAGAGACAAACTCGCAAGTAGATAAGTCTTGAAACTAGAGCCACTCACAGAAGCCTCTCCAGTCTTTAAGTGAATACATTTTTCTGGATTGCATGATGTGGTTGAAAGAATTACACATATTTCAACTGATTGAGAACTTGAAATCCACTTGTTGAAATCCTCTTCAGTTGTCCCTCACAATTGCTTAAGGACAGTACATGGATCCAAATGTCTGACCCAATCAAGCACTTAACATGATTAACAATGAGCCAAATGAGTGACCACAGACCATGCTGTTTCCATAATTTAAATGCATGATTTACAAAATCATACACATACACAATTTATGCATGTGATGTGTCTGATTTATGCATTTGTCTGTGTCTTACAGATCAGGAGCGAATAGGGAAGGACTCCCATTATGAGCAGGAGGGAAAAGTGCAGTTTGTTATTGATGCTGTTTATGCAATGGCTCATGCCCTGCACAACATGCACCAGGAGCTCTGCCCAGGAAAAGTGGGTCTCTGTGCAAAAATGGATCCTATCAATGGCACCCATCTGCTGAAGCACATCCGCCGCCTTAACTTCGCAGGTCAGTTTTATTTATTGATACTGTTTGTCTCAGATCCAGAGGTATTCTAATGTAAGAGATTTTAAAGCACTCAGATATTTTAGTTGACAAATGCATTCCCACTTTCATTAAGGGAAAAGCATTTTTGCAAAGGCTTTCAGATTAATCATATTTCTGTCTAAACTACTACGCATTCAAATTCAGACAGCAGATGCCAAAAACTACAATGCTGCAGTTCACAGTTCATCTGTATGTTCAACATATCAATTGCAACAGGCTCAGACTACAAGCTAGTTTTTTTTTTTTTTTTTTTAAATAGAAGTACAGGACACACTTCCCATCTTAGCATCTCTGCAAACAGATAAAGCTATGTAAACACAAGGCGATGATTACCATACTTACCTACTTAAACCAAAAACTAAAGCTGTGAAACGCATCACAAAGGATTTATAAGAGGTTATGAATGACGGTGAGAGTAGCTGTCACACAAGACCTTAGCAAAGATGTGATTGGATCATTAATGACTCACTCTGGGTCCGTTTTTCCCATAATACCTGCACAATACATATTCAGGCCGGTTTAATATCGCCTCTGTACCTTCTCACTTTTATAGGAAAACAAGACTAAAGGGGATATTTACTAAGGTTTTGTTGCCCATTTTTTGGCACTAAACAGTGAATCTGCATTCATATTGAATCACAGTGGGGTTTTGTGACAGAACAAGAAAAAAGCGGAACTGCAGGAATTGCGCTTTTGATCTTGTGATAAGTGTATTTTAAGGTGTTCCCATTTAGTGACGCAAAATAAGGACGGAGAGAATGGAAATACTGTATATACAAATAATCTCAGCGCCTGATTTACCATCCCTGTGGCTTTGAAATTTTACGCCTGGAGGTGTAAAATTTGCAGCACTGCTCTCAGTATGGCAGCTGTTAGTCATCTTATCGGAGTTAAGAACGCATATGACGAAAGAGAGGGTGTTTATAATTCGCATTGCTCGTTGCCAGAGGAGGATGTGAAGGACTTTTACAAGCTTTCAGGTTGATGTCAGAAGACTATGTGATTACCTTTCTGAAATGTGTTTGTTGATTTCTTTGACCATATTAAAGTTCAGTCACTGTAAGCTTATACTTTCTACGTCCCCTCTCAGCCCACAGAGACACTATTCAGGCTGCAGCCACTGATAATGGCCATGTAGTCTATTCAAATGAACACTGCTGCAGCTTTGTTCATTTATATGATCAGCGCTGGTACAATAAATACGGCATTAAATTTTGTGCACCTGATGGTAATTTGCAATAGGTTCAGTAAAGAGTTTACAGCCATGTTAGCAATTCTGTGAGACTGTATTCAGTCACAGTGGTGCCTCAAAAAATGACTAACTTAAAGTATTTCTTGTTAATTATCAGTTTAGGTTGATGGCATTCAACGATGGCAGCACTGAAAACATTTTCTTCTAACATCTGATGGGTCTGAACCCAGCCCTTACTTACTTTCTTATGTTGAATGACCTATTTTCCATTTCCTCCACAGCCTTACATTAAACCCAGTTATCAGTCAAGTTCACATTCGTGACTGGAATTTTAATAATTAACTGCTTTCACACAAAGAGCAGTGATCCAGTTCCATTATATAGACAGTACCTTTTTAACACAATTCAATTTAAGACAATTAAAATTCTTTTATAGAGACTTGAGTATGCAGTGTTTGTACAGATAAATTATTCATTTGAACTTCTGCTCTTCAAACTAATTTGTCATTCTAATATCTACTTGTTGCACAGGCAGAATGTCAATTCAATGTTTAATTCATATCTGAGAAGTAAAAGGAAAAGGTTTCCTTCAGAAAATTGTACAGGTGATTGTGCAGGTTTTCACGCCACTAAAGATCTGGGGTGTTTTTATTATGAAAGGGAGGGTGCCACTGTTAACAGATGCTTTTGTACACTAGGAATCTTCAGACTGTGACATAAATTACTGTTCTCTGTGGTAGGAAATAACATACTCTTCATGTTGTCTGGACTGCACCACAGCTTTGTCCAATGTGTCATTGTTCACTGGACATGTGAGCAGAAAATCTCATTTATGATTCTTTTATCAGGTCTGGCTTCCTTATAATTGGGTTTATTTTATGTAAATATCAATAAATGCCAAAAGTTTTTCAGTATTGACATAAAATTCACATAAGAGATACAGCAGGTAACCATAGGATGGACCAACCTGATGCCTGACCGCTGAATGACTGCACACATTTTCAGTTTGTTCAGTGATTTAAATACTGGGGCTACGTTTTGCAGCCAGCTTTGTAGGTGGGATTAAGAACAGGAGCATTATAGGTTGGAGATCCCTAAGCAAATAGGCTACACATTTTGTTGATTGAACTGAAAATAACGAAATTATTATTAAATATTTATTTGAATCATTTGAAGGAAATTCGCTTATATATGTAACATTTATGCAATGTCAACTAATGCCAGCCTTTTCAAGCGTGTCACAGACAAACGTCCGGTGTCGGAATAAAAATCAAGAGTCTTGCTACAATCATGTCACATTTGCGTCATTTTGTTCGTTTGGTGTAAGGTGGTTTTCGGAGCTGTTTTAAGTCATCCTCTTTCACATCTTGACGTTCAGATAAAATCAGCCATGTTTAATATTATCATTAAGTCTTCAGTCTTGGTTCATGCAGACGCTGACGTGAACATAATAAACAGCTGGTAGTTGAGCTTTCTCCAGCACCAATCAGGAAACAGCGTAGTGGGCAAAGACATGGGTAAATATAACTTGCTGGTAGAGTTGTGGAGTGAGCAAGTGCGTCTCTTTGACATGTCATCCAATTTGTACCGTGACAGAGTGAAGAACGAGAAGAGGTGGGCAGACCTTGCTGCCCTTTTTCAGTCAACCAGGGTCGTGTTCACAGTGTCTTCTCTTTTTCTTTTTGGTTGTTTTTTCCAAGAAAAACACTGCACACACAAGTGCAGGTGTAGTGAAACGCAGGAGCGTATAGGAAGTAGTCTCAAGAGAAATCTAGTTTCGGTCTTGCACATAGTGACCTTGCATGATCCTCAGTCTTTCTAAAATCATAGTCTATGACTAATGACACATTGTCTTTAGATGTGAGAGGGTGTCAGAGCTTAGTCTTTTAAAAGTAAGTGTAGACATTGTCATCTAGTGTAAGGCGAGCTCAACTAGCTTCCTTGGCTAATGTAATTTAGCTGATTCTGTACATGTTAGCTACATTAGCAGTTTCTTTACTTGTAAGACAGGATACAATCTGCTACGTATTTCTATTGTGACCATTCACAAGAACGACTCCCCAACAAATAGCCTGCTTCGTGCATTCTTTGTGGAGGCTAACCTTTAGCAATGGCTGTAACTACTGTCAGCTGAAGACACAAAGAAATATCCAATCAGTTGTTTGATTAGCTTGATGATGCTGCCAATCACACAAACATTCATCCAAACACTATTTGCTGAATGACAGGTCATTCCTGTTGCCAGCTTATGTTTCATTTTGAGATCAAGCCACCTCTCCGTTATCATTTAGAGTTGAATGTAAAAACAACTACATTGATTCTGATATGTCACCTTTATACATTCATTTGGCTTTACATTTAGATTTGTCTGCAACTACATGTAGGAATCACCACCCACCTACGCAGCAAAGGGGTTTATGGGTAAACGAAAATCCCTGATGGCTGCAGACGGTCCGACATGCACACCTCCCAAATCTCAACTACGTGCTGTGCAAAGCTGAAAATGTCGGAGACATAGAGTTGAGTATGACTATAGGAAAGGGAAATTTAAATTGTAGCAATGTCCACCTGTCTACAGAGTCCCATAAGCTAAACATTTGTGGGGCCTTTACTAACTTGAGATTCACAAAGTAAAACCGTTGAGTCCCAAAACATGCTGGGAAATCAGGTGGAAAAAGTAAACAGTCCCCCTTCACAACAACCATTAAGATGCCCTTAACCCCCAGCTGCACCAACTGAGCTGCTCAGAATCCAATAGCACATGGAAGAAAGAAAACTGCTGTTCACAACATGTGGTATGCTGGGTTCACTGGTTCTTATGGTCCATTGTAAAACAGCTTCTATTTTCTCCTTTTTTCCTTGGCAAAATGTTTATTTCTGATTATCTCTGTGGAAATAAATTAGGTTTATATATTTGTCTACAAAGGTTTAGGCTAGATTTCAATTAGCATTTACTGTATGTAATTTATTATTCTCTCTCAATATAGTATTGTTAAAAAATTGGAAAAACTACTGAGCCTGTTACCAAGCTCAAGGTTTGTATGAAATGTTTGGGGGTTTGGACAAAAAAGACAGATAAAAATAGCAAAATGTTTTAAAATGACACAATAATAGGGCATTTTTTCATACAAGAACAGTGTGTAGATTACATCTATGAAAGAAAAAAATTTTTAGGTCCGTTTCAACTGGATTTCGTTCTAACCAGGCAAGCTGTATTAATGTTACAAAACTGTCTGACTAGAGGGGTTTGCCTTGTGGTTATACAACACCTGCTTGCATCAGCACACAGCAGCATATTGAAGTTGTCCAGATATACAAAACAATCTAACCTCTGAAACTAAGCCTGTTGGTCTGTATATTATATTTTCAAAGGCAATATTTATCTCTGTGTTGTGATATTATTATTTTACACACCAGTCAACGCACAAAGCAGAAATAGCGATCAACAGAAATGTACCTAAATGTAGGTCATTTTTTGTTGTGATGAATCATTGCTGAAGCTGAGCCAGCAAGAATTACTGTCGGGGGTTTTAGCGGACATCTGCTGAAAATAACTCGCATCTCTCGTACTGCAGTGCTGCACAGCTTTCCGGAGTCCAGCAAGACTGTATTGCAAATATATTGCACTGGGATGCATATGTAATGAAACTCAGCTGCTAAAGGTCAAATGTCAAGAAGCCTCTTAAAAACAAAGGTGCCCATAGTGGCTTTAGTCCTCGCATGCTCACAAAACTGTTTATCTATGATACCTCAGTGGACTGTCAGGATC